TATTTATGAAGTTATCATGTTTGTAAAGAAAAATCTAGTAAACAATGACACACTTTACAAATTCAACTAAAGCTTACACCTCTATAATACAAGGCAAGCTTGTAACCTTCATCAACCAATGTGTACAAGCACATTATACCAAAATAGTACATTCTCTTCAGGTATACAATTCTTTAAGAAATTACCAATACATCTGAAAAACACAACAGGCTTGTACAACTTAAAAAAAAAACTTTAACATTTCCTTGGGGAAAAGCTTTTTTATAGCATTGAGGAATACCTCAATGACTAACATGTGCAATGTGATTTCAGGTGCTGCAGTAGGACTAGGTGTAGAAATAGGAAAGAATCTGCCCATAACCTGCCTCCTACCCATTTCAAGATACCATCAAGGAACATACTAACACTGTTAAACCATATGTAGCTATTACCATAATTGTTATAATGTACTGTTAGTATACTATTATTATATAAGTAATGTTATCTATTATATTTATTATTATATGTACTAGCAGTAAAATCACTATATCAAGAAAATGATATCCTAAAAATGAAATGTTATAAATCTTGAAATGTTAAAATATTTTAAATTAAAGTAAGTCAAATATTCAACCAATTGCTGCTAAAAATATTTATCTTCTATGTAATATCTTAATATATCTGTATTGTATAATCACTAGGCCAATGACCCCATCTTCATCAGATTTTTTTGTCCAGTTTCCCTGGTCCTTTGAGCAAATGCTGAAATGGCCCCTTGTTTTGCTTCTGGACAATAAAAGATGTATTTATATTATATTTGACTTGTCATACACGATTGTAATTGTATATGTGACTCAATAAATATTATTATTATTATTTATTGTTCGGTTTATGGTTGCATTAAGGAGATTGCAATAACTTGGATTTCTTCTTTCACCCATCTCTTAACCAGGCCTCGGATGCTTGGCTAAACTCAATACTCTAAAATGTTTTGTAGGTTCCAAGAACTCTTAATTTGTGGTATTCTTAGCATTGCTTTTTCGGTTTTTATAATGTCTATTGGTAACAGTGGGGCTATAAGAACTCTTTCACTTAAATTAACGTTTTATATTGGTGATGTGAATATCTTATTTTAAGAAACAGTTGAGATAACAGGGAAGTACATTACAAAATTTTGAGATAGTACTAAAAATGTATTCTTTCTGGATTAGTACTCTCCTGTGACGATAGTTGCTTTGAGCTCTGCATGTTATAGGAAAGGAAATAAAAGATACACCAGGTATTGTCTTGTCAGATTTTTTTTTCTTTCCTGAATGTAAAAGTTGTTGGAAATTACCACTTATTGACAAGTGCAGTGTTGGTACCTTGTTAATCATCTCAGTTGAGGGGAGTCTGCAGACAGTGTAGCACACTGAATGCTCCAAACGAGTATCCTTATTTGCTAGAAAAGTGAGCTTAGTGTAAATTTTGTAAGTCTAAAATAAAGAAACACATATTTCAGAAGTTGGAATGTAGTGATGTTATTTGAGAAGATTAAGAGGATATAAAATCTGGCAACACCTGCCATTCATATGCTGAAAATTTATTATCCTGGTATTTATGCATGGGAACAGTAGCTTAAAATTGTTCCTGAAATACATAGTAACATCTCAGAATATGCATCAAATGAGGATTGAGATGTGTTATGAAAAAATGAAACTGTTTATACAAATCACAGTTTTGGGCATTGCAAAGAAGAAACTACAACTCTTGATTTTCCTTACTTTGCAGGAACTTGATTCTTATTTTGAAGCACAAAAATAATGAAATACTTATGCTTGTAAATGTCTAACTCACCCAGAGATTGTGATGTCTTTTGTAGGGCAGCAACAAACTTTCTATCTATCTATTGAAGATGTTAAAAAATTGTTAAGTTAAGCATACAACATACGATTTCGTTATGTGTTTTAATAAGTTATAAAATTTAATATTCAAAGTGTGCCAATTGGGTTTCAAGTTTTACGTACTAATAATCCGCTGCCTTGCACCATATTTAATCTTATTTCTTGCTATATTGGTATCTCACGCCTTTTATGAGGAATTGCTCTGCTGCCATTCAGAACATCAATGAGAGCCTTCCTTTGAATATGGTGCATATAATATAAAGTTGATTAAAGCATGAAATGTCTAATAGTTTCATTAAACTCCAACTTCAAATTTCTACTAATCATGCCATTTAATCTGTACATAATGTAACAGAAAAATTTTACTTTAAGCTCATTACTGAATTTATTATTGTAGTATTGAGCTTGACAGTGATACCAAGAAGTTCATGGTTTACTTCAATAAAGCACAACTATCCTTAAAAAAACAAACACTGATAAAACTTTCATCATGCAGTGTTTATAACTAAGACCAGCTAATGACTGTTTAAAACAATTTGCAAGACAAAACACTGAATTCCCTAGCAACAAGATAAATAAACAACCTTCCTTGTTACCTAAGATTAAAATATGCACTTTCATGTTAGACCTCAATGAAGGTAAGGGAACATTAGATTGCTGTAGGCAATGTTAAATATAAACCAAAACACTCTTAGAATCATGCCATTTTGAAACCATACCAAACTTTCTTTGTCCTATGTAGTACATATTTTAACAAGAACTTGATAGACCAACTAAACCTCTAATACTTACCAATACAAATTTAAAATGCCTCTTCAAGGCGAGGGAAAAGTTTTTGGAGTTTCGAAACTACATGGACCTTCCCTTAAGGGAAAACATTTGAACAGCGAAGGAAAAATACCAGGTTTGGAATCCAAAGGTCAACCACCAGGTTTTGTATCAGAGAGAGAAAAAAGACTGTACTCTAACCCTCATCACTCAACAATTTCAGAAAGTCAACTTTCATCTCAAGGTTTAGCTACATCACTTCATAGTTCCCCCACTGGATTTCTTCCAGATCTTGGAAACAAATCTACTAAACTAAAACCACAAATCATTGGAAGAGTTATGTCCGAGATACACTCTAACTTACCACACAAGGATTTTGCTTCAGAAGACTTTCTCCATGTACTGGTTGACCGAGTAATAGCAGAAGTAGCTAATGAAATCAATCTATATGACAAGGGAGCTCCACTAATTTATCCAGCACTAGCTCAAACAAACATGCTCCCTAAAGAATGTTGTCAAACTCTACAGGAAAAAAATGAATCTTTATTAAGCAGTCGAATTTATGAAGATAATTCTGACTCCAGTCTTGAAGTTAGAAAACCACCCAACAAACTTGGACAAAGAGATGAACTAAACACAGGACGAAAATCACATCCATCTGAAATCACAGTCTCGGTAGTGCTCTCTGAAAGCTCTTCAGAATCTACTTCAAGTGAATGTTCTGTGGAGTGTTGTCCTGAAGAACCACCAGGATTTTACAAAAACCTACAAGGAAAAGTGAAGAAGCTACTAACTTCACGCCATTTCTGGTGGACACTCTTCCTTTTATTATTTACTGTATGTCTGCTTTTTATGACTATCATTTTTGGGGCATTTTTGGGATTGGCAATTTGTGGTCCACACTCTTGTTCTCGCACTTTACAATCTCAAGACTCTCTTAAATGGATTTACCTGAAACAGTCCCATGACCCTGCAGCCAATGTTTATGGGCTATTTTAGAGTGATACAAAGCCAAGTACAAATCACCACAACTTATTGTTATAAAATGAAATGGTCTGTAATAATGAAAATACAAAATTAAACTCGCTACTTCTTTATTCCTGTAATTAAATATTTACAATAGATACCAGATTCTTTATGAGGTCTGGTCTTCATAAAAAGAAGCATGAAAGTAAGGAAAAGATATTACTTGTTAATCACGAATACTTAAGTTTCTCTTACTGTACCCAAAGACACTTTGCCAATTGTGAGAATCACATTCTCCTAAAATCAAAATTTCAGCTGCACATTCAAACATCCTTAAAACCTGTTTGTGGAAATAACTGAAGGTCTGACATGAAATACATAGAATGGAAATAACCAAATTATTAAAGAAGTTTACAGTTCATTTCTCTTCACACCATTCATTTTCTTTGCGAACTTGTTCTTCCTCACTTGCTGTGAAGTCATTCTTGATGTTGAATGTCTTGCGAATTTCTTCCGGAGTTTTCCCCTTAATCATATTAGCAACAGTTTTGCATGTAACATCCAGAAGGCCTTTTATATCAAGATAATTTGCAGCCTAAGGAATAGAAAAACAAATTGTAAGAAATTTATTTATTAGTAGATTTCAGTCAATTTGAATAGATTTGCATGCATGAATTTACATTTTTCAATACTTTACACAATATAGATTTTATTTCGGTGGGACTTAAGATAGAATGATGGTGAGAAATGGAAATTAGGAGCTTTCTACTCTGTCAAATTCAAACCCAGCTGAAGATTATCAACTGACACGACATCAAAGGGTCCATACCAAAATTAACTCGAAGAGTGTTCCTTGATCCACCTTCAGGAAATCAGCATCCCAGCTGCTTATATCATCGGTCCTTTTCTCTTTGTTCTCATCATCTTCAGGTGGGGGAGGATCATCCTTATGGTAGGTCGCCCACTGAATTACTTTCTTCAGAATAGCAGAGTTAACATTAGGAAGAGGCACAACTTCCTCTTCATCCTCATCCATTCCTGCAAAGTTTCAAAATTGATGGAATTGTCTTTTATAGTCCAATCTTTTTCTGGATTTTAAAACTTTTGGTTTGGACAAAATTGCTGTGGACATTGAGCAAAACAAACCACTGTTTCTGTAGTTCTAGAAATATCAATTTAATTAAATACAATCAAATTAAAGAATTCATCAGCCAATGTTTTAGGTTAGGCCAATGTAATTCAGGACAATGCAACTGCTATTGAGTAATGAATGTTAAATCATTCAACCAGATTACCCTAGTTTAAAGGAAACTTTAGTAAAGGGTTTAGAATACATGATTGTCACATAGGAAGTGGTATATTATTGTGATATAAAAAGTGTAAGAACCAAAACCTTGAAATTAGAATCTCCAATGACTACAGGTTCTTCAACGTTGCGCTTGTTCTAAGACTTTTAGAATCAATGCAAATTTAGAAATCAGTTTAAAAGTAAAATACAATTTAAAAAAGGTACTAGAAAATGATTTGCCTCAATGTATTTCCTTTCCCTCCATTGCTTTAATGCTGTTCAAGATTCATAACATCAGACTCAACTTTTTGACTGAAATGTTTAAGGCTATACAAAACCTAGAGATTATCAGTTCATGAGTACCCTAGAGTAATTAAAGAATTCACTTCTAAGTAACAAAAATAGCTCATTAAATTGGAGAGAAACTTAACAATTGCTGAAAGATTTACAAAGCAAATACTTTGAAAGCCATAAAGGTAAGGGATTAGCATTGGGAAATTCAAATTACAAAAGTAGTAAAAGTTTTCAATGCTTACTAATAGCAGAGAACTACATATTATAGGTACTCATGGAAACCAGTAATTGATAATTCCAACAATTAAAAATAATCCCAACGAAGTGCCTACTGTCATAATGTTATTGAGAACAAAATTTATATGCAACAACATACCAAGATCTTCAAGCATGGTTTTGATTGTGACCGAGCATTTCGCAATTTCGACATCTACTTCAAAAACCTCTCCATCAGAACTCTGAAGTTTAATGTTCGGCATCTGCAATTAAAAAATCACATGCTATATCCTCACATGATACATCAATAGAACACAAATGAAACAAAGCAAACGAGGACAAGTCAACACACACAATAAATATTACACACTATGCTCTTACATTGCAACACTTCAAAAGTATTTATATGAAAGAAACGGATTAAAGAGAAAGAGCAGGCGGCAATTTTAGCACAATTCGATTCTTACAAGAAGAAAATGGACACCATGAAATACGATGAACGTTTAAGGCAAACAAGATTCAAACCTTCTTCGAATACTTCGCACCGATGCGGGTACAGAAATACTTACCTTGTTGAAATTGTAGCCCCAACGAATTTAACACAATATTATCAGCCAAATTTCAAGGCTCTACTGCCAAGCCTGCGTAGCCTTTCTTTACTAAGCGACGATTCGCAACTGTCCGTCTTGTTCCCGTTTATAGAGTGGGAAATCGTGGTATTCACTAGTCCATGACGTCCAACGACTTGATTAGCCAATGAAATAGCTACAGGAAAATAATGCTGAATTATGGGTAACGTTTACCGGGAATTTGAATATCTTTTCAAATGTTCGAACTTCATTACCATCTGTTAAAAAACAAAACAAAAAATGTAATTATCAAATATATAATACGTAGTGTATTCATAATATAATAAATTTAATTTCACGTGCGACCACGTATGTCTGAAATGGAACAGCAATCTAAATAGCCTATGATTGTCATTATGGCTCAAATATACATTTTAAAATCGTTTGTCTAGTGATGATGTTTATAAAATAATAATAATAATAATAATAATAATAATAATAATAATAATAATAATAATAATAATAATATTCTCGTCATTATGGAAAGCGTACAAATGCGCGTTTAATTAGTTTTTGCATTTTCCACTAGAAACATCGTTCTTTTGAAACACCAAGTGAAGTGGTATCCATCACAACGTCCAGAAAACATTCATTCCCCCTAAACAGGGATGCCATATTGGGCGGAATTCCGCCAAATGGGCGGGGGAAAGAAACATCGACTTCGGGAAGAATACATTTTGCGGAACTCCGCCAGTAGGCGAAATCAATTGTTTCCTGTGATGATTTCGGGCGATATGTTGCTGTTTTTGCTTAAATTATCAATAGTACTCACTCTTTCCTAAAAATGAACAAAGACATTGATGGTTTCTGAACTGAAACACATGCCCCATGTACAAAAGTTTTAGTTTTGAACATTCGCAAATGTGGAGCTATTATGAAATGATGCCTCACGTTATGTATTTTTAATTAAACAAGTATGCAATCTTGCCTATTTTTCTATAAATTGCACAAGTATTGATGCTAATAATGTACCCAAGAGTTTTAAAATTTGTTGCAAAGTCGTTGACGCCACGCGTCTTTTGACCAACCTCCGTAACTTCACAGAGCATCGTAAATGAATTCGGCTAGCAACGCTGGCATTTCGTTTAAACAACTTGTAAATTTGCAGCTATTTTGATATTACCTACCCCAGTATAAAAGCATTTTTTACCGCTCACCCTTTTCCACGCTTAGGCATTTGGATGAATTGGGATGATTTTGAACCCTATGATGCCGGACTTTTTCAGGTCGGATCTGACAACCCTGCCCCGAAGGGCATGCATTTTTTATTCGTATATAGATTGTGATGTAAGTCGCGTACCGTTGATCAGTTGAATCAAATTTTAATCTAATGTTAATTCATGGTTATATATTACAGTGAATTACTATTTCAGCTAGTATATCATTTATTCATAATATCTTCAAATTAGTCGGTTCAATAATCACGATGACGTAATACGCCATGTTCATATAAGAATAGAGTGGCCGATAGTGTTGCCAGATTGGTGATTTTTTTTACATTAGTGGACTGTCTGGGTGGGGGTTAATTATTTCGGAGAAAATTTTGGGAGATTCCTATTTGTAAAATAAAAATGTGTTTGCACTTAAAAATGTACTTATTAACTTCACATTGATCTTATGCTCACGACTTCACTGCTGAATTGAATATTGAGAAGAAAGATTAAGTTTAATATTATTGAAGCATTTAAATCTATTTTAAATTGCGTCATTTAATTGAGTTAAATGTTAATCAGTTTAATATTATTTTCTATTGTGATGAATGTATAAAACTGTTTAATATATTGAACAAATAATGTTATTTATAAAATTGTTTGTTAAATTTTCTATGTCACTTAAAAAGTAAATAAAAATAATTTCATTTATAGGGATTATTTCATAGTCAAGGAGGAAACTGATATTTTATTGGTGGAATATCAACATTACAGTCTGGCAATGGTGGTCGAGTTCTCATTGAAAGTACTGTGTAACGGTGTTTTTACAAGTCGACAGCATTGTTGACTGGTATCGGCTCATTCCTCAACACAATAGTGAAAAATGAGAGAAAGAATAAATGCAAGAACAATCCGGTTTGATATTCGGATCGTGAATGGATTCGGGGAAATTGTTCAATGTATCCTGCTGCCACCTGTTTGTGTGAACCGGCACCGCGTGTCAATGTTTGGCCTGAGATTTGCAAGAACCAGTCACGTAATGTGTCTTTTCTGGCAACAAGACCATAATTTGTTTGGAGATATACAGATGTTAAATTCCGCCCTTCGGCCGTGTGCTCTGCCAACGACTTCCCAGACGTGAGGGGTTCCAGGGATGCCCCCCCCCTCGCCCACGGGCGATCCTGCCTCCTCTGAGCGAGATTACAATGGCTGCAGCGGGGCGCTGTGGCTTAACGCGGCGGGCGGGAAAAAATCTGCGTAATCCGTTCACAATGTGGCTCGCACAATGGCTAGCGGCGGTGCTGTCTGCGGGTGGGCCTGGTCCGCATTGATGGGAATTGTCACATACCTGGTGCCGAGTCGAGCCGCGGAGGCGTTTGTGAACATCGATTTCCCTTACCGATTATTCCCTACAATTTTAGAAATATAATGGTGTTCCCAAAACAAAATTAATGTTTTTTTGGTTAGTTTTCACAGTAAATTCACTCTGAAAATTGTTTTTATTTCTTTCTGAAATTTTGGTATACAAAACATATTAACACTGAGCGTGCATAATTCTGCTGCTCCTTCAAGTTAACCGTCTATTTAAAAAATGTATTTTAACTGTCAAGGAAGGGGGGGGGGCAAAGGAAGAAAGCGTTAATTTTGCTTATATTGATTTGAACCTAAGAAAAGTTAATCAAAGAGTATCTGAACATCAAAGAACATATTTTCAAAATCTAAACTGTTGAGACAGGGCATATGGATTTCGGGCAAGTAAAGATTATAGACCAGTAACCTCGAATAGGCGCGAGAATTGTATCAGAAACGTTACATATAAAACTGAATGAGTTAAAATAGCATGATATAATCAAATACATTCACTGGAATTTACGACTACTAGCTTTTACCTTTTAACAATCGAAATCAAAATTAATTCTTGCTTCCTCAATGCTCTTCCCCCATTCCATGACAGTTAAAATACTTACTTGGCTCGTACCCATCTCCAGTTTTTTTAAATAGACGGTTAACTGGAAGGAGCAGCAGAAATATGCACGCTCACAGTGGTAATGCGTTTTGTCTAACATTGTAAGTAGTTTAGAACACTTATTATTGCATTTCAACTCTTTTTTTAAGACAAGCTTCTGTCAACTTATACTTTTCTTTTCAGGCAGACAGAAACTGTGACCTTTGCTGCCGTCAAGCGCTCCGATCTCTAGAAAATATCGAAAACAACTCTCTTTGATTGGCGTTATTGGTACAAAAATGACGATAATCAGAAAGCAATATAGAACAACTAAAGCTTTTACTTGCTCTCATCAATGGACCCGTCAATTTGGCTTTTGATTTATTAAACTATTACGTTGAAACATTAAGTTATTTTGATGTGCTTCTGAAATATAGTATAATCATTCATCACCCATAGGTAGTATGCCATTAAAATCACAAAATTATTTTCTTTTACTCTTACTGTGTCATAAATAAACAGTTCTCAATTTTCACCTGTACGCCTTTAGTCAACTTTACTTCGGAATCATTTTAGGGTGGCCCGTTCGTACAGCCTTTCGCACTGGTCTAGCGAATGCGAGGTTGCACGAATCGAGGAAAGAAGGATCGAATCTGAGCAAAAGGTGAGACAGGCAGTCCACGAAAAAGAAGAAAACTTATTAACCTAAGAACGCTACAACGGAATAATTGAATGAATAAAAGACTAAATTTATATTCTAATACATACGAGTTCAATTAAAGTGTAATTGTGCCCGCTTTCTGATTATATTAATTGATTGAGCAATAAAATTGTGAACGTCTGATACAAATGTATAGTTTTGCTATCTGAGTTAATAACAAAGATTCAATTTTTGCGCGAAGCCTATACAGAAAGATGAATATAGGGAAATAAATGCAAAAAAAAGCAATACAAATAGGTAGAGTTATATTATTATGCAAATAAAAATAAAATATTGAAGTGGATTTGCTTGTCTTTCTAAAGAACGGAACGCTGTGGTGGCATTGAAGGACGCTCTTTCTGCTTATCGTAAAGGCTGAGGACAGTGGCTTATGAAGAACGCGGAACCATTTTTTCATTGTTTCTTTCCCAGTTTTAACAATAATTATATCATTGTAGTGTTCTCTTCGAAAACTTTACAATTTTAGGAAAATAAAATACTACAATTGTATTGCCCTCTTGGAATTGCTGGAAAAATATTTAATACCATTTATAAAAACAGTGTCAATACCTTCAAAAATAAAAATGTGTCTTGCAAGAAAACGACGTAGGTTATTTTACTCTCATCCAGAATAATACGGAGCAAACCGCATCTCGATATGTCCAACCACTTTTGAAGATATTTGCTACGCGGCAGGTATCTCACCAACTATGGGCCACCTCCGTATCATTTAAACCGTTCACGCACGATATCGAAATGCAGTTTATGCTTAACAATGCTGAATTACATGGCAAGTAATACGCCATAGAGATATTGTTTGAAATATTTATATTTGTTGAGTAATGTAAACGTTCTTATTTAAATAGAACTATAGTATATTTTCTCACTAGCAATGGGCAGATTATAAAATGAAGGAAACGTGATGTATCACATGTTAATATTTTGATAATAATTTGGGAATAAAGTTATACTTTCTGACATGTGATTTTAAATTAAATAAAGAATAATTCTTGTAGCAAATAGTTGAAATGTGAAATCTGCTTCACCTATTGATATCGTACAATTATTGTACGGCGGTAATATCAAATGTTCGTAGTTGTTTATAAATAATTACCGTAGGTTTTTTTCAACATTTTAATGCTTAAAATTATTTTTTAAAGATATATTTGTAATTGAGAATAAAATGTATTGAGGATGCAAATGGTAATAGAGAGATTTTATAACATAACTACTGAACGTTTATTAACGTAATACATACATAAAATATATTGAATAAAAATAATGAAATAACCTATTCATATCCTAAGAGAACATGAATGGCATTTTTGATATGACTTACTCCACCGTATTCAGAGATAAGTAAATTAAACCAGACTTTGTTGGAAGTTCTATTTGATGGAAAGTCACACTTATAAATTAACC